TGCTATAAAGAATAAGTCCGAGCAGGATTACAAATTAGGAAGAGAATGGCGGAAGCTTTCTCTTCCTAAAATCTGCGAACTTTTTGCAAAAATTTTTATAGTCTCTCGAAAACATGATAGGGAGGGAACTTTAGTTCTGCTTCTGAGAGATATTAATATGAACATGCTTTCTCTCAGACAAAATACCATAGAGAGTCTATGATTTCGGCATCTTTTGTTTGATTTCTGCCAGAAAGACCAAAAAAGACACTATTTGAAATAAATTTTTATATTTTTTGGCGCATTTTCAGTCCCTCCTATCTTCAAAAACAATCGGAAACTCTAAGCTCAAGATTGAGAAAAAAAAAGAATTTCTCATGTGTATACAGTTAAATTATCTATATCGGAAAGAGAAGCGTTACTTATACGGTCGAAACCATCGATATACTGCTGTTTTCATGAGTTAATGGATATGAACCGATAGCATCAAGTCATTAGAATGAACTGTTCAGTTATAATCTGCATCATTAACCAAGCAAATAATACGAAATACAGGCCGAAAACGTAATTTAAAATTGTGATATCAAATTGCTTAGCTATTGCACTATTTGTCCTTTCTTCCATAACTAGCCAAATATCTACTGAATAACACACAAATCATTCAATAACTAAAATCTCTTAAAACTTTTAGATTTTATATGCACGTATGCAATTTCATACGTTAACGATGTGATTCTGCAAAATTAAAATGCTAATATCTCTGAACTTAGGCTTTTTTAAAAGTTAACCTTCATGTTACAGATGTATGTCGAGTCGCTCTAGATACTATGGAAAACTCAGCTCTATAGGCATTAATTCAGCCGAGTTATTATTGGAAAACCAGCGTCAGCGATGTGAAACAAAAATAAGACAAAGATTTTCACTACGCACGTTTCGATTAATAAATTCTACAAATTCAAACAGTATTTTTGAGAACTCAATAGTGTGTTTTGTAGAGAACTCGCCAGGCTACAAAATCTCTATGCAAAGTTAATTCCTGAACATGCTTAGATTTTTCAAAAAACAATTGCGTTTATTCGTTGTTAGCGACGTGAGTGAATACGAATATAGCAGCGAAAAATTTTCTCGTAAGTGAATGAGAAGTTCAGAAAACCAATTTCAAATGATACACATCCTTCTTGAGAATCTCAAAATGATTGTGTAACAAAAAGTCTCATTCTAGGACAATTTCAGTCCTCTGAAAAACAGATTCTTTAGGAAGAATTTTATAGAACTCAATCTTGCTGAAAATTTTACCATAGATATAGTTTATGACGTAGAATCTATGCTGAAATTCTTGAATTTTTCCATCATAAGATAAGAGAATTATTCGGTAATTACACTTTAATTAAATAACTAATTAGCTAATTGAGTTTGATTAGATGTGAGCTGGAAGTCTTAATACTTTTCACATATATACATTGGAAAAGAACTTGTTCAAAAAAATAACTCATATGAAGAATCAAACTCAAATCGAAAATGGTCATGTCTCGCTTTCTCTGCTTTTTGCCCATATATCCATGATAGACTATAATCTAGATTCTTCTCAATAATTAAAAGTCCATTTATCAATAAAATTAAACCAAACAACCAAGAGAAAGAATATAAAAGAATATATGGTGCAATGTATCAAGAAATACTATAAAGCTTTCCAAGATTCATACTATATAATGCTGCCAGAAGTGATGAATTTAAAATTAATCTATTAGGTTCTATAACAACGTATTTTGTCGATGTACTTTTTCGTAGGATAGAGAGCATACTATGAAATGTCATTCTTATTTGATTGAAAGAAAGAAAGTACATCGGAGTTTTTCTCTTGTGTGTGGTTGGTTCTAATTGACATTGATTATTATAGGTTATTTTATCAATAACGAATACTTCGAATAAGAAAAGTCAGAGTAGTTTCTCTAGTTATCTTAGTTATTTATTGGAAAAAATATCTCTTTTTAGATACTCACTACCTTTTTCTTTTTTTTTTTGAAATCTTCATATGAGAAATTTCTTAGAATTTTTAAAGACTTTGATATTTCATAGAGATTGATATGAATTGTGTATAAAATCAATGTGATTCTACAAATTTCAATGACTTTGTTCCTTCAAATAGATAAGTTAATCAACTGTATCAATATCTTATATCAATAATCATTTCTTCTCGAAAAGTAGATTATTCCTTGTCTATGCATCCAAAATTCATTGAATAAAAGCTTATCTTCTACTATTGATCAATAGCGAACTCTAACCATTGTTTCTCTTTTCGATTGGTTAATTCATAACAGACTACCCATCGACAGTTATTATTCAAATTAAAATCACTACCAACTGATTTATACAAAAAAAAAGAATATTTTTAATGTCTATGTAATTAAATAATTATAATAAATTAATAATCAATTTCTTTTTTTTTCGATAGATAGTCATATTTTAAAAAAATGCGTTTCTCATTACGACGATTAAGTATGGCATGGGGTCGGATTGGTCATCAACGTGGAAAAGTAAAGTTTTTTTTAATATTTTCATTTAAATAATCTATTTTGTCACTTCTCATACAGGTTGAATATACACTTTCATCCCATGAACAAAATCCATATGCTGGTGTTTTTGGTGATGTTACATATCGATATTATTCTCAACTTTTAAAAACAATTATCGCTATATGGGTGCCTAATATGCTTCTCGGTTATTCAGCTTATTCATGGGCAAATTGGGAATATGATCGTTGTACACGAAAAATTCCTCATCAATTTGTGAATGAAAAACTACCAGAAAATGAAAAAGATGTAGCAAGTGGTGATAAATAATAGATAATTAATTGTTCTATAAAGCCTATTTCTATCTTCTTTCTTTTTTTGTTATTCATTCCATATTTTTTTATAACTATATAGTATCCTGTTCAACATATCATTTTGTATTTTTCGTTTGTCTAAATAGAAAGATAAATAATCGATAATGAACAATTCAATGATTTGTAATTGCAAATCATCATTATAAATTTCGACATATAAAGTTTTTTGAATTATTGAAAAATGCCGTATATATTTATGAATATGTCAGATTTAAAAGTCAATTTTTTATTTCTGAGAGCAATTTTAAATGAATAATCCTCTCTATGCAATTGATTTTTAAGATTTTGATTCAAAAAGGTTGTAAATAATTATTCATAAAAATCAATGACGACATAAAATTTGCTCAGAAGTATTTTAATCAAATTTTGAAATACAAACTGATCATTATTATATAAGATAATATTATCATTTCAATTTAGCTACATATTTTGTAGGGTGTGAATGTGGATGTAGCTGGATCTGTTGGTAAAAAGAGATTGACACCCACATCTGTTTTCTCTATCATCGCTAGAGAACTGCGAGGCGTTCTAGACCTGTTAGAGCCTAAAATTTTTGTTTCTGACCTGTTTAGATTTATATTCACTTTTAATTTCAGTCCCGATTTGTATTCAACTTCAAGTCTGAATAGAGAAGAGCTGATGCCAGTCTACTCACGTACAGCGTTTCGACATTAGATTGACTATTTTCTAACGATAGAAAGTTCCCCAAGTGCGAGTCTTCGGTTCCAATCAGCCGTGTGTCAGTTTGCACAATTCAACGAGCCGATTACGATGGCATAGGGAGTTCTTTCTCGTAGAATTTCTTTAAGGAGTTAGATCGGTCTTGACTTTAGCAAAAATGATTACGAGTAGTTATTTCGAAAACTAAAATTTTTTTGTGTTAGTTAAATTCTCAACGTTGAAAATTTTAATATTAGATGCATCTTAATTGACTGTATACATTCATACTATTTACATTATGAGCGTATGAAATTCAACTATTGTTTCAAAGTCGATCACATTTTTCTGAGAACACTATTTTAAAGACGTAGTAATTAAAGCATTACCAGATATCTTAATTTCAATAGTCTGCATGCTATTTAGTTGTTTTCTCGCATATTTATGTAAAAAAATACAATTGATAGAACAAATTATTGAAACATAATTAACGTGTATTTTTAATAAATGTTTTATATAGATGAACATACAATTGACATCGGGTGAATCTTGAAAAAATAGTTGAATTCTATATATCCACAGTATTGGAGATATTAAAATATTCAAAGTATAGACACAGTTAGAACTTCTATTTATGTTGATTTTATGGATGTATATAGTCAATTAAGACATATCCAGTGTTAAAGTTTTTAATGTTGAGAATTTAATTAATACAAAAACTAAGAGTTCTGAAATAACAGCTCCTAGCCATTTTTCTGAAGTGGACATTGACATAATTTCTCAAAGAAAGTCTATGGGAAAGAACACGTCATGTCATCACGATCAGCTCATTAAACTGCACAAATTGACATAAAGCCGATGGAAGCCAGAGGCACACTCTTGGAGATCTCCTCTCGTAAAAAGAAGCAATCAATAGCTGAAATCTTAATCCTTCATTAGGTCACGCACATAGAAGACACAAGATATTTATGAAAAAAACCTCAGATAGAGATGCAGTTGGATCGTAGATCTGCAGTTCACTAATTATCGTTATCACATTATTAAATTTGAAATTCATTTTGTAATTATTTTTATTTTCACCTGTTTGTATATTCACAATCTTTCATTCAATTTAAAATTAATCCAAGAAAACTTCGAATAGTTTTAAAATGTATCTACATCATCAAACTTGTAAGGAAAATCATTAACAATAAACCAATTCAATCTCTTCATAAAAATGAAATAAAATTGAATAATAATAAATTTTTTCAACTTTGATATTCATTATTATTTTTTTTTTTGTACAATCTTCCAGTGAATGTTTGTCTATACGTTTACAGAAAATATATCACAGCTACATTCGTTTGTTATGTTTTGAGCGACAAATAGACAGCAAAAACAAAAAATGACATGAAGAAAATGATTTATCTGACAAATACATTTCATTGACGCACACATACATTATACAATACGGTGCTTTCAAATTTTTATTCTCGACTAGGACAACGAATAATAAACGAACATAAACCAAAGTTAGAGAAAACAAGAAAAAAAAAACAATTTTTCTTTTGTTCTTTTTTTTTGTGACATGAAATTTAATTATAAATAAAGTTGAATCGACTAAGTGCCTGTGGTAAACTTGATATAATTGGACCATAACCAGAAGCATTATCATATAATTCAAATAGAGGTGCAGCAACTAGTTTATAATTACGTGGAACTGCAAACATTGATGATTCACCAAGTTGAACAAGATATAATCTAATTTAAAAATAAATAAATCATTTTCTTTTGTTTTATTTCTTTTTCTGCTTACCGAATATGTTCTTTTGGTTTAGTTATATGAGCAGGTATATATGGATAACGTGGTGCTTCGAAATTCGGACGCCACCAATTACCAATAACGTCTTCAACAAGCCAATTATTTTGTTGAGTAGAATCTGGTCGTCCTAATGTTTCATTTAATAAACGTTTAAGACCTTCAATTGAATCTTCACCGGGATTAAGTTCTCCGCCTAAAATTATTTAGAAAAGAAAAAACAGATAATTTGTTTTTTCGTCTTCAATTTTATATTTTCTTTTTTTTTTTATTCTTACCAGGTAATTTAAAAAATGTTGTACCCAATTGAAGAAGTAGTACATGAGGTAAATTATGTTCATGTACTAATAAAACAGCTTCAACACTACGTCTCATACCCATTGTTGTAAATTCTTCTCGCATACGTTGAAATCTTGCTTGAACAGAACTATCACGTTCATATAATGCATCTTTTGTACCAAATGTATAATTTGTTAATGGATATGTTTGAATTGTTCGTTCCAATGCCATTGTTTGTGTTGGATGAATAAATGTTCGATTATTATTATTATTATTATTATTATTATTGTTATTAATTGATGGTCTTGGTGATGTTGCCATAGAATTTGTATTATTATTTTGATCTGTTATTGTTGTTGTTGTTGATGATGATGATGATACTATAGGTGTTGTTATTGATACGGATGTATTTGTATTATTAGTAGACGTTGGAGATGATGATGATGATGTTGTTGAATTCATTCCTGGCCAATTAGTACGCACAAGTTGTGTGGAATTATTTGTCAAATTTGTTGCTACAGACATAATTTTTTGTAGATTTATATGGGATAAAATAACAAAAAAGAAACCAATATGTTAACAAACAACAAGGTTATTTTAATAATTGATTTTGAACTAATGTTGAATTACTGAACAAAGAAGCAACAAAAAAAAACACAAATCAGTCAATCAAATAGATGTAACCAATCATTGACGATATTATTCTCGAAATATAAGAAACTGTACGATAGTGACAACTATTGACAGATTAGAAAATTCAGTTCTATCTAATCTGAAATTGTGTTTTTGTATATATATATACATGTAGGAAATTCAGGATATAAAAATTACATTAGGAAGAGAAGAAGACAACAAATTACCATATTTTCTGTATCTGTAAACGTATTATTTTTGTAAATATCAATAGATGTAATAAAATCAAGCATACTCTAACATAATAGTATTATTTAATAATGATCTAAGTATTGAAAAGAATACATGGCAAGGACTATTCCCATTGACTGCTATTTTCAAACGTTTCGTTTCAACCTAGAGAATTAAGCAAACGATCTTAACCTAATTGAAATCAAATAAATAATAATCGAATCAATTTCTCATATATGAATAGCATTTGAAGAGCTTTCTTGCATAGCTAAATAAACATATACTATATATATATGATTGAAAGTGCTTGAAATAACATTTATTTTATTTTTATGTCGGAAACTAAGAAATATTTATTCATCTAATAGAATAAAACATTTTTTTTCTGATATATTTCTTTATCCCACTATTGATTATTTCTATAATTTAGAATTTCTACCATCATTTTAATGGACTATATCAAATCACAAGTTTTTTTTTTTTGTGTCATAAAACGAAAGCGACGAATAAAACACACATACACATCTGACATGATGATTTTCAATAAAAGAATTAATCAAAATTGTTTTTATTTAAGATTTGTTATTCCTAATAATTTACTAACAAATAATGAAACCCAAGCAACATTCATTGTCAATGATATTACTTCATGTGGTATATTTCCAATAAATGCACACTTTAAATAAATATGATCAGTAAATGTTGCTGTTGTAAAACAAACAGCAAATGCACCAAGAAATGATCCAAAACCAATTAATGCATAACAAAGCCAATCAATATTTGGTATTTCTTGTCGTTTACTCGTCCATAATGATAAACGAACACCAAGAGCCATTGAAAGTATTTTTAATACTTGTTCAATACATAATTGACCTGCTATAACATTTTTTTTATCTACTTTAACATCAGATGCATAATAAAAAATATCTATTAACCATTCACTAGTTAATGTTTGATATTCATTACAAAAAAAAATTAAAAAGAAATTTATACAGCCACATAATAAACCAGCTAAACCTGGTGGTAAATAATCTCCATGATATAATAAATCAAATAATTCTTCTGATGAATGTCCTGGTGATACTGATTGTTCACTTGTTTCAAATATAAGTAATAATAATATACTAACTGAAATCGTTATAAATCGTGCTATATTATTTAAACTTTGTTTGTCAGTTGACATTGAAGCTAAAATACACATACACATACAAATATACATACATAAAAGGAAATTAATGAGTATTTTTGTTTTTCATTTAAATAGAAAGAAAAATATATCTTACGAGGATTATTTGGATCATTATTAATTCGTGAACCAGTCGTTCGACTAGATAAAAATCTCCCCAAAACAGAATAAAAACCATAAGCTATGTAACTAACTGCAATACAATAAACAAATACAATAGGATCTATAGCTAAATATATTGGTAAATATGATGGACAAAAACCAGTTAATACCATTGATAAACCTAATAAAAAACTACCTATTTGTATATCCAGTGTATTACGACTTTTATAACGATTTTCCACAGATGCATGTGCTAATAAATATTTATTTGGTGATAATTTACTTAAAAGATAAGGTACACTTAAAAAAATAAAACTTGTTGCAAGATAAAATTTATATAAATCAGTTTTTATAAGTAAAATATTTCGATCAAATGTATATGGATAATAAAGTTTACTTTTTTCATATATAAATCCATGTAATGTATGAAGAATAATACTAAGTATGAATGTTTTATTGAAAATTTGTTTTAAACTATCGAACAACATTTTTGATTTTTGTTTTAAATTATTTATCGAATCAAAGATATTGACTCTTTCTGCGTTATTTTGTTTACTTTTTTATCATTGGACTTGCCCTCTAAAATTACGCAGTCATGCATGACGCATATGTTTGTATACTTATTAGGTTTTTTTTTATTGGTAAATTGAAATGAAAATATATTCTTGTAATTAGATTATAGTATAAACAATAATTTTAAAATATATGCATATTTTATTTCAAATGAATAAGCAAGCTCTTGTTTCATAGAATTAGTATCTGATAAGATTGGTTTTTTTTTTGTTTTTAATCGGCATAGTTTTTTCTAATCTTGCTTGTTTTCACAGCATCAAACTCCAGTATACGTTATGCTAAACATGAACGAAGAAGAAAGACTGCCGTCGATCTGCAATAGTTGTCATTACTATTTCTCTTGTCATTCTTTCTTTTGCTTGAAGGAAAAAGGAAAGAGGATAGAGATAGCTAACGCCCAATCTTTGTATGCCGGCATTGTATGCACGCTTCTAAAGCCAGCATAGACTGCAACCACCAACATTACTACCACAACTACCACCATTACTCTCAGCACACGGGAACAAAAAAAGAGGATCTTTTCAGTTCTCTCGAGGACGATGCCGTGCGTCACTCATCATAGAACATTTTTTTTTTCAAATTACGTTCGAAGAACGGGTATCGAGAGAAAATCGGAGAAAGAGAGAAAAACAAGAGGAAGACGAATCAAGCTTACTCATGTAAATGTGAGTGTGTGCAAGAACTACAACATATTAATGTTGATATTATCAAGTGCCTGTGACGTTGTTGTTGAATCGTATCATAATGCACCCTCAGGCAGTAGTATCAACAGAAGCACAGCTTCGAGCATCATCTCCAGATTTTTCTTCACTTTCATGTGAAGAACTTGAACAATTAGAACTTGTTCTACAAAAACAAGTTTTAATTGAAAATGAACAAATACAACGTTTAGCTGGTTTACGTCGTACTATGATTCATCTTCAACAAACAATTGAAAATGATCAAAAAAGATTACGAACTTTATCATCATCATCTATTTCACATAATTCTTCACCAGTACAATTAAATCACTCTATATTAACATCATCGGATATTGTCGAATGTTATATTTGTTTGTCAACAATTGAACTTCAAACAAATAGTTTTAAGCTTTCATCACCTATTCTTTGTGCTGATTGCCATCGACCTGTATGTCGACGATGTGGAAATTATACATCACCGGAATCCACTCCATCACATTATGCAATACATTTAGAAAATCAAAATTATGCATCAAAGTGGCGTTGTCGTATGTGTATTGTACGCCGTGAAGTTGTTCGGAAGTCTGGTACGTGCTTGAATAAAGGAAAATAATCAGAAAAAAAATCTATATATTTACTGAAAAAAATGAATGAAGATGTGTTTTACATATATAAATAAGTTCAGATTTCTTTGAAAATAAGATGCATAGAAAAACTAGTCAAAATTAATTTATTTTTCTCACGAATAATTATAACTTTCCTCTTTTCTTGGCTTTTTTCCTTTTTTCTTTTCTACTAAAAGAGAGAAGAAGACGAAGAAGAAGAAGAACAAGAAGAAGAAAAAAGGTGTCTCATCAATAAATGACACCTTTACCTGTCTTAGCTATTCTTTTGATCTAACTCTTTTTCTTTTCCAAAATATTTCATAAATAAAACACAAAAGATAAGAATGAATCTTTTTCGAGGTACATGGAATATGAATGAAGATGAAACACCTAATCAATCATCTGTACGTTTATTACAAAAATTAGCTGCTTATCGTGCATCAATGGCTTCAATATCAGTATCATCATCATCACCATCACCACAAAATGAACGTCAATCATCAATTCTTACTGAATCAACAAATTTTTTTGCACGCCTATGGCGTCCATCTACTCAACAATCAACACCATCACCAACTTTAATTGCTTCACATGAAGCAAAGTCATCATCATTTGATCATATACCTGAACCATGTTCTACATCCATTGATGTATCTTCTACTTTATCATCACCAGCTATGTTAAATCGTCGTATGTCATTCATACGTAATGTATCATTGAAAAATCCGTCCTCTAATCAAACTTCTTTACAACCATCATCTATAATGATAGTACCTTCAAAAATGCCATTATTTCCAGCACAACTGACAACATCAAGTACAGTAACCGATCCTTCATTCGAAGATATAACATTTGAACAACAATACAGCATAAATAGTGAATTATTATCTCAAAATTTAGAAACAAATATTAATAGTAGTAATCTTCGTTTAGTTGATGATCAAGATTATGAAAGAAATTCTCAACAACAATCATTAACATATGATGACCGACATAGAAAATTAGATTTGATATCAAAACCAATGAAATCATCTGTTGAACAATTATCATCATTACCTATGAGAATTATTGAACAACATCATCATGATAGTCTTCCTTCATCGGAACCTAGTATCGATGTTAGTACGGTAAGTTCAAGTCATCTTTAGCAATTATTAAAAAAAAAATAATAATAAATTTCAAATAATTATTCGAATATTATTTGCATTTTAAGATAGTTACGTAGTCACTAAAATAGAATATACTTCGTCATAGGAATAGTTATTTATGTCCTTGTCCTGTCTGTCATAGAAAAAAAGCATACGCACGGACAGGTAGGCAGAAAATCATAGAAATATTTTTTTTTACTGAATGCTCACGCCTGAAGAACAGGAAATAAAAGAGAAAGAAATAATGATACAATACAACATCGATGTTTCTCGTTCTAGATACTTATTTAGCATTAGTATTTATTTTTTTTCCGCTTCATAATTAGTCACAAGTCATCCAAAGGATGAAAGAAAAAAAGCAAGCAATCAAATATATCTATACCTGTCTGTCATATTAAAAAAAAAACAAGCATTTATGCCATTTAAGATATGCAAATGAGAAATAGTCTCAAATGAATTCTCAGATGATATTTATATTCATTTAGAAATTATTCGTTAAAATTTCTGCATGAGATGAAGATTGACGTGAAGAATCTTATTAATCATCATAAAATATCAATTTTTTCTTTTCTTATTTTTTTTGAAGGAAAGACATATCCAAGAAAATTCATTTCTTTTTATTTCTTGTTTTTTTTCTATTAGGTTATGGATTTTTCTTCTATTTCCATGTTAACAGAACAATCACCAAACAATAGTAGTACAGAACCTTTATTAATAGAAAATCAATCAGCATCTGTTGATGCACCTAGGACAGATAATAATAATCGTCGACGAACAAGTCGTACAAATTTAAGAAATTCAGATTCATGGGCACGTAAAAGAGCATTATTGCATCGTGGTTATCAATGGACGACAACATTAAATAGAGAACCTCTAATAAATAATAATAATAATAATAATAATCAAATAATAGAAAATCATTTTTCGAATAATATAAAACCTTTATTAAATTCTATAAATAAATCATCAACACATACAAATCAAGAAGAAAATTCTCCATCACTTGAAACACCAATGTTAACAGATTCAAAATCGAATCATATTTCTCATAAATTATTTCGTCGACGACAATCATCTCGTCGTTTACCAGAAATACCTGCTCTTAGTATAAGTAATAAAAATGTATCAAATAATGATTCAATAACAGATGATTTAACATTAACATCATCATCATATTCATCAACCGAATGTTCATATCAACCAATACGAGAAAATTCTCTTAGTAATTATTCAAATCGTTCAAAAAGCATTGATTCAGAATCATCAATTAAAAGTCGTTCATCACATCCAACATTATTACATACACATCAAACACTAAATGCCAAATCAATTGATATATCAAATTTAGCACGACGAAAACCATTTCTTGCTGTTAATAATACTTTATTACCACAACATTCACTTGATTATCCATGTATTGTTCGTAAAGCACAAGATTTATCAGATATTGTTCGAACACGAATGTTACATTCAAAATTAAATAAGCAACAACAAGGAAATAATTTTTCTATAAGTCTTGAACGTGAACATGTACCAAAAGTTCCAAGAAAAATTATCATACGACAAGATAATAGTATTGAAATTGCATTAAGGTAATTTTAGAATTCTTTTCACAATATTCATTTGCATTTCCTATACTAAATAAGTAATTTTTTCTTTTTTCAAACAAATCTCAATTAATAATTGATTTCAGATTTTTTTTTATCTCGTTTTTTTTCAAATACATTGAATAATTTTCACCTTTTTTCTTTTAAAAGACACCCACCTAAACTTCGACGAAATACTCTATCAGAAGATTATTATTATGGTCATAATCCAGAAGCTGATTATGGTATAGCACAATCTGGTAGTGGCGTATCAACACTTGGTTTACCACTATCAGCTTCGATGTCAGGTTCAACAAGTGGTGATCGACGTAAAACAATTGAAACATGTGAAAATATTTATTTACATGCTGAAGAAAGTTCAAAATTACGTGCACGTACACCACCATCAAATCCACATAGAATATTACTTCATCGAGATAAAAATGATACATCAATACGAACAAATGGTCTTGGAATGCGTATTGTTGGTGGACAAGAATGTGAAGATGGAAGTCTTGGTATAAATTTTTGTTATCTACCTAAAAATTAAAATAAAAATGTTTTATTTTATTTTTTTTTTCTTCTAGGATGTTTTGTAACAAATATTTTACCCGGTGGTCCAGCTGATGTTCAAGGTAATATTGAAGTTGGTGATCAAATTCTTGAATTTAATGGTAATTCTTTAATTGATTCAACTTATGAAGAAGTTCGTATGTTACAAGATCAATGTGGTGATATTGTACAATTAGTTGTTCAACATAATAATATTCGATTACAAATTAATGGTGGACAAACTTTATCATCTATTGAAATTTCAAGACATTTTGAAACTGTACCACGTTTAGCATCATCAATGACACGAAAACGGCGAAATTTACCTCCATTACCATCTTCATTATCATCATCATTTGCTAAACAACCAAAACGACAATTATATGAAACAGTTGAAACACTCGAAGTACCAAATGTTAAAGAACTTAAACCAATATTAATTAATCGTGGACGTTTATTAGGTAAATTATTAGATATTTCAAATAAAATAACTCATATAATAGGAGTTCTTTTTTTTATGAATGAATGAATGCATGAATGAATGAATGAATGAATAAATCTTTTGATTCTGAATAGAATTTCCGGTTTTATTTTCTTGTATTAAGGTAACAAAGCGGATTAGTTCTTTTTCTTAATAAGTAGATTATTTCCTATCCACTTATTCATAATTCATATTCAACAATCTATTATTTATAGATTTTATTTAAAACAATATTCATTTAACAAAAAAAAATAGTTACATCTCGTTATCAACATAACTTCAATAGGTTTTTTTTCTTCTTTTCATTAAGAAAAAATAAATAAGCTAAATATATATTTTTTCACTAATAAGTTTTTACAGAAGTCAACAATGTGGAAAAAAAATAATACTTCATATGAATTCATATAAATAATATTCTCTATTCATGCATATATACTTCATTGAAAAGAGAAGATAAATGAAGAAAGAATTAACGTTTTTATTATCTATTATTTTGTATAAGAAAAAGGTTTTCATTAATCATTATTTATATCAACTTAAATGTCAAAAGCAAAAAAATAAGAAAATTAATGAGTCAGAAATCTAAAACAAAAAAAACAATAAGAATCAAGTCAAGTAGTACGATTTGCATCCATCAATGGAATTATGCATTTCCTAATTGATATCCGGATCTTTTCCTGTTAAATAGAAGTTCGTAAAATATGGCGACATTTTTTTTTCTATTTAATTTGTTTCCGTATCAAAAAGAAAAGAAAAGGTTATCTCCAATTTATTTGTTTCTTATTTCCTTTTTTTTTCTAAAGCTCAAATTTGGCATGATATTGATGATTTGAAATTAGCTTTAACAATAATTCAAGCAAGTAATCTACCATTACGATCGAATGGTGATTTACCATATGCATATATAACTGGTAAAATGTTATTTGAAGATCGTGGTTTTGATATGTTTGAAACAAAAGTTATACATTCATCAAATCCAGCTTATAATGAAACATTTGTTTTTCATGAAGTTGAAACAGTTGATGTGATTCATCTTGAAATATATCTTTGGGATAAAAAAGATTATATGCAAACAAATAATAAATCTGTTACAACTACAAATATTAATAATGATAATATGAATGATTCTGATGATTTTATTGGTATGATACAATTACCATTAAATGAAGCTAATCTTGAAGATGAACCACGTTGGTATGAATTACGTGATCGTCAAACACGTAAACCATCAGCATCAAGTGTTACATTTAAATCATCATCAGTTGAAAGTAATGAAAGTTTTCGTAAAAAGGCACCATTATTAAAGTCAACTAAACGTCATCAACGTACGAAATCATCAGCTGATTTATTAATACGTACATTAAATCGTTCAACGACAACAAATAAATGTGAAATCAAATCTGATTTATCACCAACAAAACGAAAACATTCTATTGTACAATTTCTTAATCATTCACCGGATAGAAAAAATTTACATCGTGCAAGTATTGCTGATCCGATAACACCAACAATTATAATGTCAAAGAATGATAATAATAATAATGACGATGATGATGATGATGAGGATGAGGAATATAATGATGACGATGATGAAAATAATCAACAACCAAAACGTCAGTCAATAATAGCTATGCAATCAGAAAAACTTAAACGTCAAATATCTAAAGGATTATTAAAATTATTTGATGTTCATACAAGACGTTTTAGTGATTCAACATCGAAATCAGTATCACAAAGTCCAATAAAAAAATTATCTACACAAATATCAACAATTATCGATCAAGAAAATGATAATAATTTATCAGGGAATATTCCTATTGATAATTCACCTACCACGATTAATAAATCACCACGTCAAAGTATTATATCAACAATACAACAAGATGAACATCAATCATCATTAATACGTCCTATACCATTACAACAAATGCCTATTGGACAATTAATGTTACCTTATATACCATCATCACGACATTCATCTATATCAGGTTCAAGAAAATCTTCAGCTGCATCTTATTGTGAAAGTGATGATGATATTGATAGATATTTTACATTATCAGAACAACAACAACAACAAGAACAAATGAATGAAAATAATAATTTTCAAATACATACTGCTGGTCCAGGACAAGTAACACCAAGAAATTATGAAAATATGATTAATGATTTTATACATATGGGAGAAATACAACTTGGTTTAATTGTTACAAAAGGTCTTTTAGAAATTGATGTTATTTGTGCAAGAGGTTTACAAAAAGTTATTGATGATAGTAATATCAATACTACAAATATTGAAGATAATCCACCAGATACTTATGTTAAAACGTAATTACTAATTGTTTTGCTGTTTTTTTTTTGAACTATTAATTTATTTTTCTAATACAATACTTCTATTGATTATTATAAATATATTTAGAATAGTTGAAAAATGAATTGAATGTAGAGTCTGATACAAAATCGTTTTAGTTAGTCGATATTAGTCGGAAATCTTTTGTTTAGTTATTTGAAGAATTTAGATGTAGATAATCAATATTATTAAATATCTTTATGGGTGTTTAAAATAAAAATGATTTATATTCTTGAATAAAAGTCTTTCCTCCGCTCTCGTCTTCTTTTCTCTGTATTACATATTAAATATCGAGTATCATATTGATCGGATGAATGAAATGAGTACTTTATTTTGTATAGAATCTATAAGTGATCATTATTTGATTCATTCAGCATAGCTACACGAATACTCTCATAATATTACCCAATATAACAACTAAATAAGTTGATATAGTCGTCTTCGAAATTTTGTTTGTACTGTCAATATTTTTGGCATTTTTATCTTCATTATCTACTACACAATTTTAATGAATCATGTGTATGTTCCACTTGTTCAATTGAGAATATTAAGTTGATAATGAAGATAAAAGCGTCAAAAATGTTGAAAATACAAGTAAAACTAGGAAGACGACTTTGTTAACTTATTTAGTTGTTATATTGGACGATAGTATGATAATACCCGTGTAGCTACACTAAATGAATCAAATAATGATCACTCATAGACTTTATACAAAAGACAGTGCTCATTTCATTCTTTCGATCAATAAGAAACTCGATACTTAATATGTAATACAGAAAAAAGAAGAGGGAGAGCACAGAAAGACTTTTGTCCAGGGATGTAAATTAAAAGTTTAAGCCAATCGAAGTTTCTCAATTATGATCGATTTCTGTTCGAATTATTTATAGAATGAATCCAGTTAAGTTTAATATTAATCTATTTTATCAGAAATGACAGAAGAAAAAGAATATATCCATATTTATAACATTGTCATATAAAATTAAATTGTTTGATTTTTAAAATCAATGAAAACATCTTTCGACATTTATATATTCATTTATATTATTTCTTTATTAATAGTTATCTTCGTACTGGTACACGTCGTGTACAAAAACGTAAAACACGAACAATAAAAGCTAGTTATAATCCTGATTATCATGAAAAATTAAAATATAATGCTTGTAATGTTATGGGTAATGACAATTTTTTATTATACTTTTTTTTAATCTATTTATAATGAAATTTATTCAGGTCGTCGTTTACAAGTAACTGTTTGGCAACGTACACGTAAATTTGAAAAAAATCAATGTATTGGTGAAGCATTTATTCAACTTGATAATCTAACATTAACTCAATTAACATTAGCTTGGTATAAATTATTTCGAGAAAAATTAGTCGAAAGTGAGTTTTATGATTCAAGTTAACTGTCAGATTATCGTCGATTTATTCAATGTGATGATATATAAAAACAAAGCAAAATAAGAAACTTCTATTTTTATGCGATGTTAATATTCATTTCGTTCTTCCTTGTGTTGAGAGAATGAATCTATTTCCAGAAAATTTTCATGTATAAATGTATGTATATTTTTTTTTTTGTTTTATTTACTTATAAAATAAACGAATTCAGATGAACAATAGGTATTAAGCAAGATTAAACATATATCACATGAGATATTCATATTAACAACTAGATCGAAATATGAAATGTTTCTTAATTAAAATGAACAGTTGGTGTCGTAATATGTTGATTTAACAAAATATTTGAATCAACATTCATTTCTTTAACAATAGTATAAAGTAAATTATTCATTTGTCGATCTATATCATTTGTTAATGTAGTTAATGATGAATAATCTGTTTGTTTAATATCATATAATGAACGTGCAAAATCTAATACTGCATCCTAAAAATAAAAAATTATTCTCAAATAAAACTCTTCTTAATTTTATTTCTAATATTTTTTTTTCTACTTTAAGAAATATACACATTGGTTTAACAGAACTATCCGGTCCGAGAATTCCCCAAGCAAAAACAGGTGTCATATCTTCGATTAATGTTAAAAATGTTGTTAAAAATCCATCTTGATACTAAAACAAAATAAAAACGAAACAATTAAAAATATTTGTATAAATAATTAGAATATTTCTTTTTTGTACTTTAGCTGTTGCTCGTCGAACTTTAAGAGCACATGATACAGCTTTATTTAATGCTTGTTCACGAAATGTTTCAGAAAACCAACGATTTTGTAATATTGTTCGCATTGCTGACGGTGGTGAATCTAAGAGAAGATTAAAGTTTAATTAAAAAAAAATTTTTTGTTTTAGAAAAGAAAACAAATTTTCTTTTTACCCAAAATTTCAAAACCTTCTAATAACATAAAATCAATTCCAACATTATAAACTGTTGGATTTTTAACCTGCATATTAAAAAAAGAAAATTAAAGACAACAAAAACAAAAGAGAAAAATTTATTTTACTCCTGCTGCTGCAAGTTCTTCATTAATCATTGACCAATTACGTTCATCAGCTAGAAGAGCATTCATTTGTTCAAAAGCTCGAATAAAACGTGTTCTATCCTAAAATATCATATTATTTTCTTTCTTTTCATTATTCAATATTATTAGTTTTCTTTTAAGTATCATTTTCTTACGATCTCTATTATTATTTTCAGACCGACTAATAAAAAAGCAAAGTACTTAAAATAATCTTAAGGCATTTGTGTTCTACATATATAATAAATATGCTTATAATTTCCTTTCGACAATGAATCAAGTTTTATTTAATGGCAAAAGATATAGATATTGTTTCTAATTAAATTTCGCATACTATTTTAAACCAATGAAAGATTATTTTCAGATATATTCTCTTAGAAACTTATGAATATTAAAGGAAAAATAATTCTATGCTGAAATGTTTGTATAGATTTTTTAAAATGTTATCAAAAAAGTATTAATGTGAAAAATTATTTATTTCTGTTACTAAAAAAATTTTCTAGTTAAATCGATTTCTGTAAAGACACCTTCTGGAAAAAAAAACAAATAAAATTCACATTGAATATGATTGTAGATATGACAAAAAAACGAAATAATTGAGAAAAAGTTATTTGGAAAAGAGTGACTAAAGTTTGAAAATATGATTCAAATAAATGATAGAATATTGATTGTGTTTTCGTCGTTTCATTATTTTTAAAAACATTATAATAGACTTAAGGAGCACATCAGTAAAAAATCTTCAAATATCCAGTGAAAAATTTTAGCAATTAAAATTGAGTAAGAAATCCGATTATAATCGATTATAATTTGGATTTTATTTTGCAATAGTGTTGATGGAAATTCTCATATAATTAGTTTCAACCCGATTTTGATACTGTTGTACTGGCTTGTAAACAATAAGATGAAATACAACTAAATAAAGACATTTCTCATGGAAAGAATGACAAAAAAATTGATTAAAATCAAATTTTTTTCCGTTTTTTTTTACATGGGAATTATCTGCTCTTTTTCTATTCTATCTGTTAATCTGCTTCAACTCTTGTATTACTTGTTAATCAATTTTAATCATGCATATTCAATATTCGATTGTGAAACCCTAATTTTCATATAATTTTTTTGAATTACTTGTACTTAGAAGCCATGAAGTTGTCACCAAACTAAAGTCTGGTAAATGAAATAAATTTGGAACTTCTATATAAATTGTTTCAAATTGATATGATGCAATTACATCAGAAATCGATTTAAATTAATTAAAATATTTTAATCGATATTAATCAATTGTATGCATAATATTACTTTTTTTTTATATGATACTTTTATGTATATAAAGTGCTTTTATAATTGATAACTTCACAGATTGTACTCATTTCATGTGTGTCTTCTACTTACGAAAGTCATTAGTTTCACTTCATTACTACTTTGGTAAAACATGATCTAAAAGGAATATTGAAGTATACATGGTAGAAACTTGTATCAATCGCATCACAAATCATGACACATGATCTCCAGAGACTATCACAGATCGTGACAGATGTTGTTGATATACGATCGAAAGCTATATATCAGTAACATCTCATTAGAATTTATGAATTACTTTCTTATTGTAGTTCTAGAAAATTTACTAAAAATAGCGAAGAAATGTGTCACAAGATAGATAGATAGAATAAAAGAATTTTCATGTGATTAGCAACAACAGCGTTATCGTGTTTCACATTTTAATCCCAGAACAATTGCGCTAACAGCTTTTTCTGAAATCCATTAAATAGATTAAAATCGATTAACGATTAAAATAAAATTATTACCCTGGTAATCGTTGATAATTAATTGAAAATCCCTCAGTCGGATTTTTTTTTGAATGAGATTTTAATCTATTAAATGGATTAAAATTGATTGAGAATGAAAATCAAATTACAACTGAAATAATCTAGAATAATCGTAGTAGTAAATTATTTTTTCAATCGATTTAGAATCTTCAATCGATCTTAATCGAATTATTCTGCAGATGGTAGTTATTTTATAGAAGAAATTTGATTCGTAAAGCAGTAATCAAAAATAATCACGATTTTCTTAGGTATATTTTTCATTGAGTAGAGCTCAGCAAGGACATGATCACGAAGATTTTTCGAATTCAGTTAAGGCAACACGAATGAAGCTTTTGAAAACTCTTTCTTTACCTGTAATGTTAACAAAATTTGACTACAATTCAATAATACGTCGCAAATTCTTTTATGGGAAATTGTGAAAATTTCATCAGATCGTTTAATGTCTGCATAACTTTAGTCTTTGTCACAGTCATGATAACAAGACAACGACTTGGTCACGGTCACAAACATGCGTAACCATGATCGTGACAACTTTGTTCGATATCAACTCTCGAGACATTATTTGTAATGAACTTTAGAAGTTTCGCAATTGTTGAAAAGATTTTATTTTATTAATGTGCGCAAAAACAAAATATAAAAAGTGATATTTAATTATTTGATAAAATTGACTATGTAACATATTATATGTTAAAATTTGAAAAGAGAATTCTTTTAAAAAAGGTTCTAGATGATTGTATCATCGAATCTTTTATGTAAACTTTGTTCTATACTACTGTTGATGGAAAATCTAACAGGACTACTCAGGTCAGTAATCAGATTTAAATTATAGTGAAATTTTGAAAAGTGATAAATTGTTTTTAAGATGAGTAAATTCAATTGATACTAGCGAAAGTCCTAATAGATTTGTGTGTATGAAATTTTCTTCTTGATTTGTGATCATTGTCAAAAGTATTAGTTCGTTGTAAAAATATCAACTTTTCTAGTATCTTCTATCCTCAGATAGCAATATTAACAATTCCAGTGTGCAGAAAAATACAAACATTGTTCTCGGAAAGTATAAACTAAAAAGTAGTCAATTTTTAAGATGTTCTGAGAAGAAACACAATATTGTATTAAACAGCTTATTAAAATAGTTATAACTCAAGAACCAAAGTTTTATCAATATGAATCCTTTTTTCGACGTTTTCCAGTCTCAATAGGGCTTACTTCATCTCCGATCGACAGGACTGAGTGGCTACATTGTTCGACACGTATTCACAACGTACTATGTGCAAACGTCAATATCAACAGCCACGGAATGATCCTGGACAAGTAGTTGTCTTGGATTACTCGTCCGACAGCATGCTAACTACATTGTTGAATATACCTACTCTTGTGACTAGTATGTGGTTAGTTAGTGTGTACGAGGATCTCAAGCAATTGAGCAAAGAACTTTGTGTCAGACTGACTTTCTGTCCAGAACTACATCTAATATTAGTTGTAGAAAAGATATCGGGCTATTGAATCTGTCGCTAGGCAATATTCCATACTGCAAGGTAGCCAAAAAGCAGTAATATTCTTTCTACTTCATATCAACAAAATGATCTATCACTTTATGAGGTTCCTCAAGTTCAGTTTACGATGGATATGAGTCAAAAGAAAAAGAAACATGTTTTTCCTTTTCATCTAACTTTCTGAATGATACTGAATATCAATAGAAGTGACTATGGTAATGTCTAAACAAAAAAAAAAGCCATAACATACTTTCGATGCTTTTTCAAGAAAACGTTCACAAATAGCTTGTGATACTCGTTTTAAATATTCTTTTTTCTCTTCACTTCCAAGTACTTCCTAAAACATAGAAATCAAAATTCTAAGTAAATATTATCTTTGTTTTTTTTCCATTATGATCGCAAAACTAACATCACAAGCAGTTCGTACACATGATAATTTAGCTAAATAATCTGTATCAGATGAACAACGAAGTAATTTCGTTCGTAATTTTTTATATTGAACTTGATTTTTTTGTGCTAAACGAAGTCCATATACATAATAGGGTGGTAATGAATAATATGGTGATGATGGGTCAAATATCAGATCACCTGCATCAAGCCATTCGGCATCCTATAAAAAAAGAAATTGAGTGTTCTTTTTAGTAAAGAAAATGAAATTGTTGTTGTTTTTCTTTTTACATCCGTAGCACTTTCAAAACTATCTGTAGAACGTATTGATCGAAGTGAACGTCGATCATTAAATGTATTTATATCTGATTGCACACTTAAAGCTGTTTGTAATTCTTGTTGAACACGAATTGAATCAGCTCGATTAAATAATATTGTATTATTATCATTGATATTATTTGTTAATGGTAAAGATTCAAATGTTGATTTAATTTGTTGTTCATGTTCTTGTTCTAATATTAATGCTAATTCATTTGCATTTGAATTAACATCAATTTTATTTAATAAAAATTGTATTTTTTGTTTTAATTCAATTAAACAATTAGAATTTAATGCATCATTATGTTGAATTAAATCAGGCTGATTTGTTAATATTAAAGAATTTGATAAATTATAATTAATTATTGTTAATGCACGTTGCCAATAATCAATTGATATATTAAGATGTTCAAGACCATATTTATAAAGTTGTTGTGGAGTTGGTAAACTTTCTCTTAATGGTGTATCTACAGCATTTTCCCATTCTAAGTAAAAATGATCAAATAAAATTTCAAATAAATATTAAAAAATTAACCAACCATCGATAGAAGCTGATTTAATTAATGGTGCTACATTTTGTAATTGATTTGGACGACGTACTTGTGTTCGACGATTGTATAGTTTCCAGAATATAAAAGCTAAACCTGAAACAAAAAGAAATTCAATTTTTAGATAAATATTTAAAAATTTTTATTGTCAATATCACATTAAGAGAATTTGTAATTTTATATTAATAGAAATTAGATGAGATATACACAATAGATGTGTTTTATTCATTGAAAAAATATATAAAAATAAATTTTGACTAATGATCAATAGTAGACTACATATCAAAAACAAAGTTAGAATACTTCCTCTTTTACAGGTGGGAGGAAGTAGATAGGAAATTAAGTTGTATACTATCGGACGTTACTTCTTATGCATTATGATACAATACCATTAAAATCTTCTCTTCAGAGAATATTTATTGACAGAATTTTCAAACAATACTCTTCACTATTTGTTTTTTTTGAAGCACCCAAAGGCCAGTGTTATCTATCGAATTTGGATCTATACTCTTCATTGAGATATCTTATGTTATATAAAATATATTGAAACGGTTACTATATTGTATAGATATCAGATTATAACTGCAAAGTTTTCTGTTTAGTCCGTTCTCAATTTACTCTAAAAATTTATTTGTTTTCTAGGCACGAGAAAGCTAACATTGAATACATAATTTGGAGATTTTAAACTAAACTAAATATCATGAAGATTTTGTATACAATAACGTTAGTATAAAGTTGATGGAAACTTGAATTTTTTGCAACGCCAGAAAGTCAAAACTATCTCAAAATCTTATTCGCTCAAATTATAAATGACAGAAAAACAGCCTAATTTGCTCGGTGCAAGCAACATTTTTAATTTATTTAGATATTTGCTCACGACTAATCATCAGTAAGTCAAATAGAAAACATTTAAAGCATATATTTAGAAAGAGTATCGTATTCTACTTGTCACTCACTACTCTATTGATCCTCTTCAATGATATCTAAGTGTCCAAAAAAAAAGCAAATATATTTATCAACATCTTTTTATTTAACGTTTTGTATAAGCGTCATTTTTTTGTTTGTCGTCAAAGATTTATTCTCAATGAACTAACTTTAAGTCAGAAAAATGATCGATAAATGGGCGAAATTTGATCAGAAAGATTGTGCAAAAACTTTTCGTAAATTATTGAACATCGACAGTAAAACCATTCTTAAAATACTCCAACTTTCGTAGTTCACGAACTTCTACAAATGCTTCAAAACTATTCCATTTACAATATTGCTAGATGCGAAACTTTGATTTCTTCAAAGATATTAACATCTCGCTGAATCCATCATTGTAAAAGCAACACATCGCATTTCTGTTATTACACACAAAGCAGAAACATTCATCATGAATGAAATCCTGATATTACTATACCGCGACGGACTATAAACAAAAATTACTATCACCGCGATGGTACTCAAAAATATTTTGAACTTCATTGCTGTGCCTAATCCATAGGATTCCTGTCAGTGTTATACTCGATACGAAAATTCCGTACAAAATCATGCAATTTTGTAATCTTCTCTAATAGAAAGAGACACGACGGATATCTTTCTTCATTAGGAAAATAAATAAACTTCAAAATGAATGATTAACAAGGTAATCGAAATCCTAAATTGAAAATTCACTTTTAGAAAAAACTTAAATTCTTCATTGAATAATTTATTCAAACAAAATTCTAATCTCATAAAAAAATTTTCACAAACACTCAATCTTAGTTTTTCTTACCAACAGCTGCAATTGTTGTTGATGAAATAATTCCCACTCTACGTATATGGCTATTACTACTAATAAACGTCATAATTACATAAGAGATCTATAATAAAATAAAGTATATTCAAATAAATTTTAAAAAATAATAATAATAATTTATTTAAAATAAAACGAAAACAAAAATCAAACATTTTAATTTTTTATTGATGCTAATAATGGTCCATCTTTTTTTTCAAATAATTGTTGTTGAACATGTTTTTGTCGAAATAGACTTATTTGTTTACCAATATAAACTGCTTTTTCTAAATTTGTAACAATATTCTAAAACAAAAAATAATAATAATAAATTTTTTATTTTTATTTATATAGAAAAAAAGAATTTTACATTTATATGTTCATTACTATTTGCTAAATCTTTTATAGCATCACCACTATATTCAATATCAAATATAAGACCATTCATTCGTTCTTGTAAATTTTCAAGTTCATATCTTTTTTGTATCATTACTGGTGAAGTTTTCTGCATATGTTCCTTAATTTTAAATTTATTTTGAAACAAAAATTTTTTTTCTTTTTGTTTTTTTTTATTTATTTACTTGAAGTCGATAAAATGCCAAAGATGGTTCATTAGCATTATATTGTATTGTATCATTTAAAAAACGTATTGATGAATCTACTTTTGTTTGAATATCTCGATCTGGACGATTCATTAAAGAATTTAAACGTGAATCCGTTAAATTTAATGAAGATACCATTAGAAATATATTTCAAATAAACAGAAAATAAAATATATCTATCAAAGATTAACTTTTTTATCCAATAAAATTGAATTTATCTTTTACCGACCTCTATGAATATCGATAGAGAAAGATATTTCTTTGTATAGAAGAACTTTTTTTTTATTTCAATAATCATGACACAAAAATCACCATCAAAACATTATTTACTTCATCCTATAGAAAATCATCGAAATATATGTCAATTAACAAAAGGTTCTATTACAAATTTTACTCATATACAAAATCATACTGGAATTAATACAGAACAAATTCAACTTAATCGTGATATTGGTACAAATACACCGAATTATGCTGAGCAAATAGCTCGAGCTATTGATAATGGAAATGCTGCTGAAGAAATTGCTCAAATGCTTATAGAAGGTATCATTAAATTTAAAGTATAATATAAAATATTCCAAAATTTATCATCACATTTTAAATATGTAATAGTTTATTGCTGATTAATTTTAATTCAATATTGGTTTTTTTTATCTGCAAGAGGAGGAGTTTTTTCAATTTATATAAAATCATTAACATATCTTACTACCGCATTATTAGAATTCGTTCAACAGTTTTTGAAAAGATCAATTAACTGATACATTAGTGGGATAACTAGAAAAATAGTTCTAGGAGGCTCAGCCACTTGTTCATATTCGTACAGCAGCAATAAACAATAGGACCAGTCGGCGGAGAAGTTGTTCCGATTTATGGAGAAATGGAATGCAAAAATAAATACATATATCTATCATTCATTGTTCTTATCCATACATATCAATTCAAGTAGACATCGTTTTTTTTTCTCTAAAAAGACATGGACAAGTGTTTCGTCTTAAATATGGTACATTTCTTCTATTAGACCTTCTTAGGCTGAAAAAGTAATATGATTAATATATCATTAAGTTTTTTTTGACTTTGACTGCTGCCGGTAGTAATAAATGAAGTGTTTCGCTTCTAGCAGTTTACATTTCTACTTAAAAAAAAAACTCCATCTCTCCTTGAAAGTCTGAGAGTAATAAAATAATATGATGAATATCTCCTTAAGTTTTTTGAACTCTGAAGGCGATATAAATCGTCTCTGTTGGAAATGAAACAATGCCCCTGTTTTGATGGATATTGTTCAGACTCCCAGTAAAGAGAGTTCAAACCCTTTTTTATCAAAATATAACCATTAATAGAGGGAATTGAGTCTTTCGTCTGATTACGCTACTCTGATAGTCTCCGAAAGCAGTTTGTTTTTGTTATAATGAAAACTTTGAGAGTCGGTGAAACGAAGATTCCAGACCATGTTCATGATGCTAATTGTTATTAGACTTGGCATTGTTGTATTTTCCTTTTCGTAAGAACATATTACCACGAATGGTAATGAAGCAAGTAATAAACGAATTTTCAGACGTTCTGTATTCGATGATGAGTTAAACTGATATCAATTTGATATTATTCTATAGGTTTTGAAATAGATTAATCGAACGAAAGATTTGACATGTGATCAATCTGTATTATACTAAATGGATATAGGAGATTCAATAACTTGAAAAATCACTTTAATTTCTACATTCATCTGTTCTAATATAGGAATTACGACAATAGATAAGAAACTTACATAATTAGCAAATTGTCTTTTCAATGATTCGTTTTCTGCATTATGTGTATTGACAAAAGTTTATCTACTCTTGTTGAGAAGAAATCTTACAAAACCTGATTAATTTTCAATGTCTAGATAGATTAAGCCTTCTGTTTTCTTGCGGATGTGGGTTTTAATTATTTTTTCGGATGCCTATTCACACCTCAGCCTCAAACATTTGTATAACTTTACAAACGGACACAAAAACCCTAATTTTACTTTATTTCTTTTAAATGTAGTAAAATTTATTTAATATATTAGCTGAAGCATCTGAATCTTATTGGAAATTAATGACTGAACGACGACGACAAGCTATTGAAGAAACAAATATTGAAAATCAACAAGTAAATTTCATAAAAATATACATATTATATGACACGTTCTCATTTCCTTTTTTTCTCGTTTTAGCTACATACTCTTATTGATGATTTAAGCAAAGAAAACGATAAACTTGGTATAGTAGCTAATCATTGTGATTATTTACAAAATATTCTTGAAGTAATTTATATTTTTTTCAAATATATTAGATAAATTGAATTTGTTTTTCTTTCTTTTTTTTTAGACATTAGCTACTGAAAATGATAGTCTTCTTGATGATGTAACAAATACTGATGATAGTCCAATAGATTAACATGTGCAAGAAAAAAAAATCATAGGATACGAACATTTATATCTGTGCTTGTTTGTATATATATATTTTTCTTATTTTACATTAGCTAGAACTTTCTGAATTGTGTATTAACGAGAGATGTACATGAAACTTTCTTGTTCCGATTGTAGAATCGAATATTTCCGAGCAAGGAAAAAATTGAAGAAACATTCCACTGTCAGATTTTGAGGAGAAATATTTTACCTATAAAATAAGATGGTTTCGAAAACTATATGATTACTGGTAGCCAAATGAGAGCAGGAAGTACAAATCGATTGGGATGATCTTTGTGTTCGTTTTCTAAAGCTACAAAAACACATAGGCACTGCATTGTAGGAAAAAGATTTCTCTGAAAAATATAGTCATTGAGTCTGCTTCTATTTTATTTTTTCTATAAAATACATCCAACTCTCTTCAATCGGAATCAGATATTCTCATGGCCATTTCTAGTATCAACTTTCAAATGAGCTATTCTTTGTCAGATAGAAAAAAGATCTATTTTTTTTTCTAACTGTTTTCTTTTTTTGTCTTTTTGTTATTTTCAAATAAAATTTTAGAAAAAAAAACACATCTAAATATTCTTTTCTTTTTCTTTCATGCAAATTAACTCAAGGTACATATCAATTATTATCAAACGTCAATAACGCAGGCGTTGCTTATGGGTAGATCACATAGATACGAACATCTGTTGTAAAATCCCATTGATTTAATATGTGTATAAATAATCTATGAAATATCATTTATTTATTTGTTGTTTTTTTTTCTCAACAAAACATGTTTTACACATTGATCGCTTTTATATTGATTATTGGAAGTATTTCATCAGTACCAACTGATGAATTATCACAAGGTCGAAATGCAGCATTTGAATTTCGAGAAATGATTACACAAGTAACTGGTCGGTCAGCTATGGATTTTCTTGGATATGGATGTCATTGTGGTCTTGGTGGTAAAGGACAACCAGTCGATGCAGTTGATAGATGCTGTCAAGTTCATGATCAATGTTATGCCGATACTTCTACATATCTTCAATTTTGGAATTTATGTTCACCACATTTAGTTGGTTACTCATGGAATTTTAATAATAATGTTATTACATGTACTGGAAACCACGATACATGTGGATATAAAACATGTATGTGTGATAAAATTGTTGCTGAATGTTTTGCTCGAAATAAATATAATGATCAATATAGAGGACATAGTCAACGTTCATGTTGATGAAATAAAAATTTTAATTTTTTTTTTTTTCTCGTTTTCTGTATTTCTTTATAACATCGATCGATTCTTCATTTTATTTACATGGGAAAAGAATAAATATAACAAAATATATCCGATGGGCAGAAGAAATAACTTAATTTTTCATGTAAATTTATATTTATAAATCACTTTTTAACCAGCTGAAACTGTTGTTAAACGCTTAGAAATGCAACAGGATGTATGGAAAAAAGTTTCCTGATGTTATTACAGTCTTTTCTTTGTCATAGTGTGTTACAGAATTTGTCAAAATCTAGTGTTACAATAGAAGGAATGACTTTTTTTAAAAGCTTTTTTCAATTTATTGACTAAAACTTACATTTGTTAATTGAGGTCTCGAAGCATCAGCCTCTTGTTCGAGTTGACTTCCAGTAGCTAAGTCCAATTGATCGTCTTCATTTGTCGAATCCGCAAAGAACTTTAATACTGAATACTTCAGTTGTTCACAGATGCTCTTCTCATTCAAATCTTGATAACTGTAGTTCACAGTATCGTTTGTCGTAGGATAAAATAAAAACAAAGTTCTCTTATAGCGAAAAATCTCAAAATCGACAACGAGCTCAGAAAAATAATAGGTTACGTTCATTCAAGGCTTGTTGCACTAGTAGAAAAATGTCGCCCACTTCGAGTCCTACATACAAAAGATGGCCACAAATCATTATTTAATCAATCGCTAATTCTATAACTTCAATGGTCCGTACTACAACTCCGTAGGATGTAGAATGGAAGTCGACAGCTTCTTGTCATTCTGTAGAATTCTGGTACGAGAGTTTTTAAACAATAGTTCTTGTACACATGACTTGTGTAAAAACTATTCGGACTTACAGATAAAATCGAACAGAATATAATCATAATAGTCAGATGCATTGATTGAAATTTTTCGAAGCATTTTGATCAGAACATCCATAATATTCCTTATAGTATTGAGTGAAATGGTCAGAAAACTTCTTGATCAATTATATTTTCGTACATGATTATTTATATGAATAAGATGAATGCATGAAATGATAGAACTCATGAGTCAAAGATTTATAAGAGATAAACATGTTCAAATTCTTCGAAGTGAGAGAATTACAACTGAGTCTATTAAAGTTATAGTTGTATGCAGTAAATTGAGTCCAAACTGATTTTAATTGTTTCCTTTTACGATTGCTAACCCAATACTCGGAAAAAGAACATAATATACACGAAGATGGATGACCAGTTTTCACTAATAATAGATGCACAATATTCTCAATGTCCTTGGCGACAAAGTCAGAATCTTCCGATTATCTGATGCCACTCATACCATCACAGTCTATAATGACAAAATTCCGTTATATATGCATGAAATTGAGTGTGCGTGTAGAATAGATGTATACCGGTACCCAAACTGACAAATCATACCCATACTCACGCCGCTCCCCATTTACCCATTCACACTCACACTCACATCTATTCTATACTATGCATGAGAAATCATAAATATTATCAGCACAAATTTGTGAATGTAAAACTTATCTAACAATAAATTCTGCTTGTATACATGCAAAAAAGAGTCATATTGTGTTTGCATACAGTTAATAAAAAATAAAAGTATTTGCTTGTCTTTTTTAAGAGAGCCCACCCCTCACACATAAACTTTTTTATTTTTCCATGGAATTCAACCAAAATTTCAGAGAATGTTAGTCATGGCTAGAGTAGATTATGGTTAAAATATCACCCCAAATCTGCGAGATATTCACGAGTTATAGTCAATTTATTGATCAGAAGTACCCTGTACGCGGGCAAGGTTTTCATAGTCAGGATGCGAGCTAAGTATGTCGTTGTGGTTTTTAAATTGTAGAGTATCCTTAGGGCTATGTAGTTACAGAGTTAGATTTTTGATATTTCCTTTGTTTGTTTTTTAAAAGATCTTTTCCGAAAAATTCTCGAATTCATGGTCAAAAAAATCGCCGATAAAAATAAAATATATAAGTTTTTTTATTTCACCAATAGACAAATTCAAAAATCGGGCTTTGTAACAATCTGGTCCTAAAGGGTATTCTATGCAACAAAATAAAAAATTATCACTTCTATATTGAGTTGTTATTGAGTAAGGTTTGTCCGTGCAAACAGTATACTCGAAAAAACGGATTTTAAGAAAAAAGAGAAGATAAGTTTTTAAAAACCTTATTTTTTTTCAATATGGAGGTTCAGAAAAAGCTATGTTATGTCCTTAAAGCTCATTATAAAATCAATCAACTATAGTGCATTCAAGAGTAGACACTTTGCTCTATCTAACGAGCTATAAATCACAAATTTTGACAAAAATTGACTTTGTCTGATGGAAGGCCTCGTTACATGGTCATAGCTTCAAATTTCTTTATGAATGATGAATATTGGTACGATAAAAATGGATCTTGTATGTGTTATTTTTTCTTCTATCGATGAACTATATAGTTCCAAGTAACGGCAGCGATATTGACGATGTGAATTCTTTTTTTTCATTCAAATCTAACCAAAATAGAACCATCACTGTAGTGAGTATCTGATGTCTTTGCACAAACACAGAAGTTCATTTTCTAGAAAAAAATATTCGTAACATCGATTGTATTAAGATTCTCTGTGGTTTCTTCTCAAAGTGCAACCATTACGAACAATAAACATCAACAAGTACATTAACAATCAGCAGACTAACAAAACAAAAACACACACGAATACACTTTTATTAATGCTGCCATCGCTTTTTTCCTGTGTTCATATCTTGTAGTAAGTGACAATGTGAAGATAGGAAGTGTAAACAAAAGAGTGCTGAAAAAAACTAAGGTTGTATTTTTCTTTTCGTCGTTCTTTCAATATGATTGGATCTCATAAAAAGCTTTTTTTGTCTCTATCTGTCCCAGTACTTCTAGCGAGTTGACGATTTTCAGTGAATATAATTGCATTAAATTCAATACAACATTGTTCATGGCATTGCATCCATTTAGTCTCTCCATAGTCATTAATTCACAGCTATATATGTCGCTAATATTTATATACTAATTAAGTATGACTAAGATCACATTCAAAAGATCGTTAAAATCGAACGAATGTTCAAGAATCAATTCTTTATGGCTTCCATTTTTTTGTCTGACAAGAAGATTTTAGAATTCTTCACGATGTAGATAGAGGATTTTCGGAAGTCTTTTTGTTCCGAAAATTTTTACGTTGAAAAATGGAGACAGTAATGGAGAAGAATAGATTGCTAAGCAATAAGAGAAAGATATGCCCGAAACTTGAACTTGGAATAGAGAAATTTTGAAATTCCAGTACCTAATTGTATTTGACGACTGCATTAACTTTTTTGCAATTGATTTGCTTAAACTTCTGAATACGTACGATTAACCGATTTCATATACCATCAACGTATTCATGCACTCAAGGACATTTGTAGAACTAGACCTGAAAAGAAGTTCATAAGCGATCAGTGTCTACTGATTGGTTAAGATGAACTCAAAAAAACAGATGACTGTTCAGAAACCAACAAAAAGAAAGCAATGAACAATAGAGTTTTCGTCTATTTTGATAAAGAATCGAAGACAATAGGATACCAATATGATATTTTCAACAGAAATTTTCTTCATAATTTTATGCGTTTAGAAATTTCTCATATAATATTTAGAATTTTTCTATGAATTAAAATATAAAAGTTTCTGTTTTGTACCATTTCATTTTCGTTGGTGTCTTTTATTTTGATTATTCTGCACATTATACATATTATAGAACTTATATTGGAAAAGAAGTTTTTAATCGAGGCATTTTTCTCTTAAGCTTTTAAGAATACTCTGTTCTAAATCATTTTTCTTTGGTTTTTCGTTTCATGGAATCTGTAAATTATATTTCTATAAATTTCGATAGAATATAAAACATCTGATCTTAGTCAAGTTTTAGCTCAGAATCTGACCTAAAATAAAAATCAAGTGCAGATTTGATTCTGTAGTTTACTGGTTTTATGTGTACTAGAAAATATATTCCAATAAGAATGAAATCGGCATGATATTCAATTACTGTTACATAAGTTATCGTTGAATAAGTGCAATAAATAAGCTAAGATCTTGTTTCCATTAAAAAATTTTAAAATTTCGTTTATCAATGAACTTTCATCGAACTTATACAATCTGATCTTCACTTTTTTTGTTGATGATATTTGGTGATGCTGTAGCTGTGTTCTTTATTTTTATCTAAGAAAGCTTGAAATATATGAACATTTGTTATTACTTTATTTGTATCTCGATTATCAATTAATTATTTTCTATATAAAAAAATATAATATTCATATTTGATTTTCAGTCAATATAATTTGATACTTTTTGTGAACTATTTCTATATAAATCATGTTTTTAAGATCAATAATGTAATAGATTGATATCAAGATGAAATTTTCTATTTGTTGTTAAAAATTAATAATCTTATTGAATACTCATATTATTCTGTAATGGAAATCATGAATTGTTCTGTTATCGAACTAATAATTTTCATTTCCCGCTTTGAAAAATTTTTTAAATCAAATTATATCATTTTTTTTCTATTTTCATTTAATAAATGGTATCAGAAACAAAAGTTGCAACTGGTACAAATTTACATCCACATGAATCAATATCATCATTATTACAACTTGAACTTATTTCATCGTTAAATTCCGATAATCATTTAAAATATCAATCAGAAAATAATATATCATCAAAGAAAAAATTTCATAATAATTTACTTCAAAATTCTCTGGAATCAATTAATGATAATTATCAAAGATTTTCAAATAATAATTTAATTAATACACATTTGCCAATAGCAAATATGCCACAAGGTAAAATCCTATTGTAATATTTATAGCATTGATATTCATGAAAATCATCAAATCTTGATGCATTTGGTCTTTCTTTTTTGTGTATATGTAATTTATTATGAATTAATTCATGAGATATTCGTTTAGATTTACTTTATTCATAGGTTATCAATTTTAGAGTATTTTCTCATAGAAATAAGTTTTATTTTATCTTATTTTTTTTTTTGTCAAGATTCGACGATAATCACTAAAACATCATCATGTCAATTACCAGCAGTACCTAAACAAGCTGGTACATTTATTCATCGTCTTGTTAATAAATTTTTTTTAATGACAAATAAAAATCAAAATAAGAAAAAATTATGTCCTATGAAACAAATTAAACGAAAACAAATGAATACGAGATTAAATACAAGAATTCTATCAGATGATAGTCATACTTTTTTAAATATTATATCAAAAAAAAGACAACGAAAACGACGACAACATTCAATAGTAATAACAAATAATAATCAACATTGTCCTGTATGTCGAAAATATCGAAATAATTTTTCAATTGTACCAATAAATGCAATACAAGTTTTATCAACAGATTATTCTTCCGAATTATCTAAGATTGTTAATAGTAATGCGACAACAACTAGAAAAAATCGTTCAATTTTAACAACTGAACCATTAATATCATTACCTAAAATTCAATTAGAAAAAATACGAACATTAAATGAATCACAATGTCAAAAAATTGCTTCAGCAGTTGAACTTATTTTTGATACATTAATTTCAAATTATCAACATATATGATGAAATAAATTTTTTCTCTTGTGTATCATTTAAAAAATGAAAATAATATTCAAATTGCAATGTTATTGATGTTTCCTATATCGCATACATTGAACTATTCTTTTTATTCAGCAATATTATGAAATAATTGTGCCATATGAAATGTTACATGTGTCAAATTCTATTCTGAGTTTATTCAAAAAGAACATCAGTCATAAAAGAAGAGAAAAGTTCTATGTACAGCTCTGTTCGTTTTTGAACAAATCTTAATTTATTCGAATAAATTTTTTATGTGATTTCATATATAATCAAGCAAGATTTCAATAATTTTCATTTCATATCAAATGTATTAATCTACGCATGAATCAATTTAAAAGATATTCTTATCAAAGCATCATACAGTAGTTTTTTTTATCATAATAAATTCATTCATGCAAGCATTCAAAAAATTCTTTTCAATAAATAAAACAAATTCAAATATTTTTCATTCAATCCATTAACCAATATATGAGCGATATATATATATATATATATATATTCATTCGACGAATAAACAAACAAATAAGCAGACACAACAATAAAGAAAAAAAAAAATATTCGTTCATAGAATAATAGATAAAAGGAAAAAAAAGGGCAGCGAGAATTAGAGATTCATTCAATATGTCACAACGGAGATAAAATGGAATTCATATGTAAATCTGACACGAACAAAACAAAACAAAACAAAAAAAAAAATGGAATCATACTCAAAGAATGATACACGCGGCAGATTTCGTTGGTGGAACATTCGGATCATAATGGTAATTATAAACAGCTGTTGAATTCATATCTAAAGGATTGTCATCAAGTTTTGTTTTCTTAGTTGTTTTTATACTGTTCTGTTTTTCGACAACTACTTCAGGACCTAGAACAAAAAAATAAAACACATAAATCAGTTAATATTTCAAATCTTATTCCAATATAAACATTTCACATGCAATAGCTCTACGAAAGATTATAAACTAAAATATGCGAAAGTACACAATGGCATACGAATGGACATAGAGCGAATAACGCACGCAGATATATACAAAAAAAAACCAATAGCAACAAAAACAAAAACAATGTGGGATATGTGAAATATAGATGAATGTGTAGAATAAAAAAGAGCGAAAATTGAATAGATAAATTTACTCACAATAAACTTAATTTATTCTAAAGTACGTAAATTATAGAATAAAAGTTCTTTATCAAAGAAAAATTGATTTCTTACTTTTAGCTAATCGTTGTTCTTCTTCGATTTGTTGTTTAGCATCCGCTATAATTGATTTAATTTGCTCAGGCGTAAAATCTTGTGTTGAAATTCGTGTTGCGGAAAAATCCATTTTTATGCGATTTACTTCAAAAAAGAAAAAAACAAAATATTCAATAATTAAAAAAAGAAACAATCATTCTATCAAATACAATACCATTTGGTGGTGCTATAACAACTGGATAAAAACCACCAATTGGTTGATAAAGTACTCGAACATAACCAACTGTACGATTAACAGTTAAATAACAAATTATTAATTGTTCTTTATTTTTTCCGACAAAATTTTCTTCTTCTGATGGAAATAAAATACCCCAACCTATTTTATCACCTTGTTTTAAATATTTTGCAGCTTAAAACAAACAAAGAAAAAAAAGTTTTCAGTTTGAACAAAAAAAAAACACTTTCTATTACCATCTCCTGTTGGCCAAAAACGTAAATAATCTTGTTTGAATTGAGATACTGGCGGCGGATCAAGTGGTGATGCCGTACATAAAGCAATTGCTATTGAATTCAAAAATAGATAAAAATTTCGAATATTTTATAATAAAACATACCTGGTGGTGGTTCATTATCGCTAAACTTATCCAAAAGCACAATTTCAAAATGATTATATTCTATAATAAAGAAAAAAGAAAACAATTAATTCATTGATATAAAAACAAGGCAATGTATTGTTTCTTAATCTTATAGAAATAGAGTTTATCATAATATGATCTGTTATTATTGTACTTAGAAAAAAATCAAAATATTCGATGATTGAAAACATGAATGAAAACAGTTATAACAAGAAAAAAGATAAATATAAAAAAATGTTTTATGGAGACTTTTGTTATGAATTGTTACGAACTATAATAATTAACATTTTTATTCGTTAAATTTTTTGATACACCAAGAATAAAAATTTTGACTTCTGATTTATTTTTGTCAATATAACAGAAAGTGTCGAAAGGAAAAGTTTGAAGAATTGATAGACTTGTACAAGGTAAAAGACTCAATAAGTTTTAGAAGATTCTTCGATTGAGAACGATTAACGAGCGTCTCGACTAAAATACTTTATGAATCTACGCTGATTCATTTCCTAAAAATCTATTCGTTTTATAACGTTGGTATTTTGATACATCATATAATTTCAATAAATTTCAAAGTATTTCATTTTTATTTTCCAAAATGAATTTAAGTTAACGATATTTCAATAGACATCTTCTTTTACTACATTCGCGGCGTTATGAACCATCGAAGGGTGACACTATAGTATATAGTGTGTAGAGACCTACGGACACCAATCCTGGTAGGATTTTTCTAGTCTTGCCAAAATCTCCTTGCGAACTCAGTACAAATTCACATGGCAGTTATCAGCTCGAATAGTTCTCTCGTAAATCTGTCATGATCTTTGATATGGACGGTCTAAATTTCTCCCCTTATACTTCAACACTCCTTTTTAACCATGTTTCACAAAAAATTTTTCTTGTATCTTATCAGAAAAACAGAAAATCTCATTTGCTTCATGAAAAAACTTATAGTAATTTTCAATGTTGATTAATTCATATCATTGTCATAGTGAAATAATTAAACAAGTAATATATTCAAATTTTTTTTTAATCAATGAAAAATTTACTTTTATGTAAACTATATGGAGCTTGAAGACATAACGAATGATCAATATGTTGTGGTAAAATAAAAGATTTTTCTTTTAAATCAATTTTTGTTCCTTCTGGTAAACACCAATCTTCAGGATTTCTCTAGAAATTCAAAACAAAATATTTTAATTCAAGAATAGAAAAACCTATCATAAAAAAAATCAATAACTAACCACACTATAATGTGGTGGAACAGAAACTCTTGTTTGCCAATAAACTAATAATTCAACAGGATCTCCATCATTTTCAATAAGTATTGTTGGAAAATATTGTGAATGATCACGTAATGTTAAATAACGTGTACCAATAGGTCGAAAATTTTTACTGAATAATGCAACACTCATTTCCTGTTCAAATACTTCTATTTCAACACCAATTGTATCACCTTTTTTACATTGATGTCCACGCATATTACCAGTATCTTTACGATTTGAATATAATTTTCCTGTATATGTATTATATCCAACAGAATCATTAATAAGACCAGGTGCTTCATTTAATCCATGTTTTGATGATGCAATACCAATTGTTACTTGACATTGTTCACCTAAAATAAAATAAAATTTTATATAAAAGAATTTTAAAAAAAAAGCAAATATTTTACTAATATTTTCTAATTCAACAAAAAAGAAACGTCGTTCATATGTTAATGGTTTACGAAATTGAACATAATGTATTGTATTTTCAGTTTTTGGTATTGATACACGGCATAAATGATCATCAATACTTAATAAAACTTGTTCACTTTTTCGAAAAATATGATGTGATAGATCTTAAAATAAGATTATTTAAAAAAAAAATAACAAAGCCATATTTTTATTTTTACCTCGATCAACTTTATCTTTTTGATAAATATCAATAGCCGGTGATAACATTTGTTTATAAAATCCTTGAAGTTTTGTTATTTCATCATTTGTTAAAATATTTTTTCTTTCAATAGAAACTTTTGTTGCTACAAAAAAAACCAAGGTTAATGTTTAGAAAAAAAAGCAAAAACTTTAATTTCTGTATTCTATTACCATATGGTTGAAGTAAAACAATAGGTACAAAACCACCTTCAGGTTGTAAAACAAAAAGAACATCGACAATTAATTTATTAAACATAACATAAACAAGACATAATTGTTCAGCTTTATCATCTTCACAATTATCGTCATAAAAAACACCCCAACCAATTGTATTTCCAACTTTCACTAAAATTAATCATATAATTTATTTTTAGTTTTCTATTAAGAAATGTTATTTACTTTTCATTTTAGCAAACCATGTATAATAATCTTTCATTAATGTACATGTTGGTGTAGGTTTTAAAGGCTAAAACGAAAAAAAAAGAAGAAATTAAAAAAAAAAGATAATCCTGTCGACTTTTCTATTGTTAGAGTTTCTAATATGAATGTATTATATAAATTTTCTTACTGAACAAGTAGCTAATCCAACACTGGCACCTTTACCATCTGTTGGTGATACTTCCTGTTGTGTAACAACAAAATAACGAAAATTTTTGCCTAATGGTATAGGTGATTGTACTGGTAAATCTTCTAATTTTGAACGATTTTCAAATAATCCTGTATGTGTATCATAAGTACCCATTGGTGCTCGAATCCATTGAGAAACTGGAATCTATAGAAAGAAAAACAAAAAGCTTTTTAATCAAATAAATAATTCAAAGAGGAAAAAAAAGGAAAATGATGACGTACATCTGTAATAGATGGTAATTGTTCAACAGCTTCTGGCCAAAGAACTGAAACGTCAACACGGCCACCAGAAAATGTTAATGTTGGAAAAAAACGTGCTTTATTTGATTCAAAATGATATCTAATTAATACAAAAAAAAAGGATTAGATGCAATTAGTGAAGATAAAAAAACAGATAATCGCTTCGTGAAGAATTATCTTTATTTCTGAAGATTCTAGATCTGTCGTTGGTCTATTATCCATAACCTTGAATGTTACTGTAATCAATCATATTTTTATTTTATATTAATAAACTAACTGATATCTTTATTATACATATGTCTAATAACTACGAGATTGAATCGACCTTTTTTCTTTTTCTGTACTTTAGTAAACCAATGTTCATAAACGTTTGCC